TCTAATTAAGTTTATGCTAACGAGGGAACCTCTCGAAGCGATAAGAGGCTTTTTGCTCGGCATCTAGTGGATTATAGGTTATCGATCATGCTGATTCCAAATATGACCATGGGAGTGACCCTTACCCGATTTTCTAGAAAACCAATTTTTCAAGAACTCTAAAATATAACCAGAACTTTTCTTAATGATTGTATCCCGCACATTTTCTAATTAAAATGAGACATCCCCCAGCTTTACACGACTTTTGTTTGCAAAGTTATAGAATTTACAAGTAAAGCCCTAAATTAATTTCTTCTTATTTCTGTAGCTTTGAGCTGACAATGAACATTTAGGGCTTTTCTTGTAAATTCTATAACTTTGCAAAGAAACGTCGTGTAAAGCAGGGAGAGGTCTCATTTTAATCAGAAATGTGCGGGATACAATCATCAAGAAAAGTTCTGGTTATATTTTAGAGTACTTAAAAAATTGGTTTTCTAGAAAACGGGATCTTTGAACGGCTAAGGATTACTTCCATGGTCATATTTGGAATCAGCATGATCGATAACCTATAATCCACTAGATTTCGAGCAAAAAGTCTTTTATCACCTCGAGAGATTCCCTCGTAAGATAAATATGTTTTAGGTCTCGCAATACTTTTAAGTGCATAAACTTTATTCGCCATCAAATTTATACTAACGGGTGATGCAAAAAATTTTTCCCTTTTTTGTTTGCTTCATGGCTCAGTTCAGAAACATCGTACACACTTACCTCTTCCATTAGAAAGAGCATATTCTAATCTACAAAAATATATAAGAACAGTGGATACTAACCAGTTGGAACAAGACAAACCTGTTTGTAGAAGCGAAATATTTCCTTCTTGCACCAGATAGTCAATTAATATATTCACTTCAAATACGGTTTTGCAGTGTACGTGCATGACAAGAGGAGAATTTAAAAAGAAAACTTTGTCATGATTTTTAAAGTAAAAAACTGATGGCACTAGTGTGAAATTATTCAGCACTCTAAATAAGAACAGTTTATTTTTGTGAAGGAAAAAGTTGATATTTCATACATCGAATGAAAATTCTTTGAATGTACTATAGCGATGATCGTGATTAGGATAGAAACTATTGGCTTTAAATAATGGAGTATGGATGACTTCGTTTTTCTTTTATTTTCTTCATTGGGGTTTAGTTTCAACTTCCCCAATGATTACTCTAATTATGACACCAAATATTTTTTGCATGTTTTTTTTCGATATTTTGTCAACCAGAATCAAAAGCATATTATTTTCGTGATTATTTTTCATTTATCCTTTTTTTTAAGTCAGTAGATATTTCTTACGCTTCTAGAACTCGATGATATGTATTTGTAATTCTACGTTCATCCTTCTATTTTTTTTATGCTCCTTTACTCTAATGTATGATAAAAGTATCTTTCCCGATTAGGAAAGATTTTGATCCTCCTTCTATTCAGCATTTCTATAACATCAGACATGGTAAGTAGAAGTTTATCAAATTCACCTGACAACATGTCAATCAATGCAATTTTCCGTGCTTTTTCGAATGAAGCCACCAGAACGCGCGAGAGCGTTATAAAATCCGCTGAAGGGTTCCAAAGTAGACATATCGAAATATGCCCCGCAAGGGAGCGATTCCGCTTTACCGTTTAAAATATATTTTCCAATCAGGAAATACATCTTTCCCGAACGAGAGATATTCCGCGTTCGGGGCATAACTCTCGTAAAGGGTCTGCAATAGGTCAGGCCCTTTTAAGCCAGCGTTTTCTGACGATCCACCACAAATCTGAATTGAGATTGAAATGAGATTCTGATTAGGCCAGTATGTAGAACTTGTCGAATTACTCATATGGCAAGGTTTTCAACACTATCGAATATATTTTGACTGAGTTATCAAAATTTTACTTTTTGATTTGAAGAATTCTTTTAGCTGTTCTCTTTCAAAAATTTTATAAGTCAACCAAAATATATTCGATAGTGTGGAAAATTTTGCCATATGGGTAACTCGATGAGTTCTACATACTGACCTAATTAGAATTTTATTTGGAAAGACTTGTGATGGATCGTCAGCAAACCGATAAGTTTTTTTGATATTTGCTGCATGAAGTGAACATCCGTTTTGATATCAAGGCATATCTTTCTTGACAGTAATTCTGGATTATAATATAAAGAATTGATGCTATAAAGATTATAGTCATAATGCCAAATACTGGAACATAAGGATGCTTACAGTATGTTCGATCTAATATGAGCGCTTAATGTAGACTTGATGTATAGGTCCAAACTCTGATTCAGCCTAAACTGAGATTGTTGGATGTAAAAGTGAGTAGGTCAATCTGAGATTGGGCTAAATTAGAGTTTGGATGCCCACATATATACACAGGGTTGCCAGAACTGGTGACTCATGAGGGACGGAACAAAGAAATCGTCATGGTGATCCTTTCTTTCGTCCCCCATGAGTCACCAGTTCTGGCAACCCTGTATATACATGATCAATATTTATTGAGATTATTGATAAATTCATATAATCACTAATCAGAAAACTATAGAGAAAAATAGTAATCAGTTAGTACTGGATAAAATCAACTTTCCCTATATGTTGAGGAGTAAATCATCATGATAAATGGAATATTTTGAGATTAGTGTTATTTTTTGGTGCTATATTCATCGTTAATCGAGATAGTAGATGATATTGTATGTGCTGATGTTTGAAAAGAAAATCTCATGTACTTTTTTTTGTATTTTAAAAGCAGATTTATATTACTATATTTGCAATTCTTTTTTTTCTGCAAATTATTTCTTTTTATTCACTTCGATGAGTTTTCTTTTTAAATGATCTATATTTGTTTGTAATGATCACTATCGGATCATCGGTACTTCTTTCTATAATCTGAGAACAAATTTTTCTTTTCTGTATTAGAGAAAAGAGAAAAAAGTCAAACATGTGTTTTCATATAATAACGTTACCCCCAGTTTATGAACACTTCATAAAGAAGTTTTATTTTTGACTTCTTTCCTCAAAAACTAGTGTTTTTACCANTCTTTTTATTAACTTGGGAAATAAATATACGATGTCCATGAGTTTTAAAAGTTCGAAACAATATGTGAGTTTGTCCGAATCAAAACCCTACGTTGAAAACTTTTTTATTATTCCAAAAAAGCAGGTAATCAAAAATTATGAAGCAATGTACATTTCTAAAATGGTACTTCTCTTTCATTTCAATGTGCTCTTGTTTCTGTGTGTAAATGTGTTAGAGTGATTTCATTTAATTTATTTTATTATCCTTAACTTTATTTAAAGACTTGTTAGAAAGAAAAAAGACGGAGACTGAATAATTTAAAAGACTAATCTCGAAGGATATAACGAAGGATTATCAACGTTTTAAAAACTATGGCATCGATTTTCTGTGAGTTAACAAAAAAGATATGAACGTTTGCAGGCCTAATCAAGAAACTGTTTGTCACGTACTCCTAGCTTCAGCGGTTCTGAGAGAGAAATTAAAAAGAAAAGAGATAGTTATTTTTTTGTAAATACCAAGCTATATTGTGTGTACAAGTCTACATAAAATATGATTTAAAGACACAGAAAATCAAAATAATTAAAAAATGGTAAAAACACTAGTTTTTGAGGAAAGAAGTCAAAAATAAAACTTCTTTATGAAGTGTTCATAAACTGGGGGTAACGTTATTATATGAAAACACATGTTTTAAAAAAATTTGAACAAAATTCTAGTTCTTATCGTAAAATGGGCTCATATTTTTCCCTCCAAAGAGTTTAGACTTTGACAAATCCATTATACAAGAAAAATTATAAGTTGTGTTCATGAAAATTAAAAAAAGAAAACTAGTGTTGATTAAGTGTTTATATTTAAACCTATTATTACAGAACGTGTATATTTAATGTGCATGTCACATTAGAATAGTGCACGTTTTAATAATAAGATCGAATGAGCCCATTAACACTAAATTGGAATTATTTTGCTATGTTCTTTTTTCCGATTTTTTAATATTCTGTTCAAATTTATATTTTTCATTAAATTCAAAACTATGATCAACATTTCTTTTTTTTTCATAAATTGATTTTTCTTTTTTTTGAAAGAAAAAGGGAACAGGAAAACGTTTTTCCGCTTGTCTTTGAACAAGTCAAAAGCACACAACCCGACATTGAGTGATAATGTGTGTGAAGACAAATATATTTTTTTTGTCATTATATAAATACTAAAAATTATTAGAAGAGAAATGACAGATTTATTCCGGTTACTAAAATGCCTTCAAGATTTTCATCTTTCGATACATCAAATGCTATACAGAGATATAAAATTGAACAACGAAATGTAAATTTAATTTTCTATTAATATTGTACACAGTTTTGTAAGAAAGAAGATATTACTTCTATTTTCTTATTCGTTTTATTTTAGGCTACATCGGAAGAGAGCAGTGATACATCATCTATTGCTCAAGCATTGGGAGCAAATCCAAATTTTCAAAAACGAGCTCGTAAACTTGGTCAACAATTTATCATTTTACACTATTCACCATTTAAAGCTGTTTGGGATTGGATAATTATCTTATTGGTATTATATACCGGTAAATAGACATATTAATTATTCTCTATAATTATTTATCGTTTCTCGCCTTTCTATAGGAATTATTACACCTTACACAATTTCATTTTTATCTGACGAAGATCAAAAACGAAATAAATTAAATGAATATGCAGCTACTAGACAATTTAATCGTGAACGAACAAGTGTTCATGTTTTAGTTATTGTTGATGTACTCGTCGATGTCATGTTCATATTCGATATATTGATTAGTTTCAGGTAGATACGACTGCAGCAAAAATTTTCCCTACGATCCAAACTTTTTTTTATTTTAACCATAACTCAGCAGAGGAGTGGTCTTTCAGCAAGCGGTTTTCACCAAAATGTTGCCCATTCGTCCAAGTGTATTCGTTGAAAAAAATATTTAGAATATTGGTTATTCTTGTGTGTAGGTCGACAACAATGCTCGAGTACCTTCTCTTCGGGTACCGAAGAGCTGCAAGAATTTTCTGTACGACTAATGTAATTAATTTTTTGACCCGTCAAGGAAGTTTAAAGCTATGAAAACTATATTAGCGGAAAGCGGAGAAGATAACGAACATTTTAGTAAAAAAGGCTTTTGAAATAGTTTTCTCGGAGCCCGCAGACCGGTTTTGAGGTAAAGTTGACATGGTCAACATGTAAACTCTGTACCGTCGGTAATGAATGAATGAAACTGAATATGAACTTTCATATTCGGTGTCAGCACCGAAAACTGAGTCGAATGATGTACTTTTTTATCCTCGCCGATTACTTTTGTTGTTTCCTGAAAGGTACTGAGGTTTTCACCAAAAAAGGAAAATCAACGAAAAATTTCGAAACATATATCATTCGGCTCAGTTTTCAGTGCTGACGCCGAATCTGATGTTTTTATTGCATAAAAAGTCAGCTCTAGTTGGGAAAATAGAGAATTACAGACAGAATTCCGATGTTTTCACGCCTGATCTTTAGAAAAAATGCATTCTCTTAGTGATGGGGCAAAATAAAAGAAAAAGGAGATTCGCACTTTTAAAGCTCTCTTAATGGCGGTTCTAATAAATAAAAATAAGTCATAAAGAAATGATAAAAAGCAAAAAAACCTGCAAAAATGATGGTGCTTTGAATGAGATTTGCAACAAACAGACAGAAAAAATGTGTCTACTTATTTTCGTAAAATTTTAAATCGATCGTTTTCTTACGCAGTTTCCGATGCTCTTTCCATTGATATGTCTAAAAAAAAGTTCCATTCATTCATTACCG